AATTTTGATTACTGCAGTGTCGTGCAACGCGTTGCTCGCGTTGCTCTGACTAACCTTGGGCGATTGTCAAGTGTTTTCAAGGCACTTCGCTCTGACGAAGGATACTTAAGAAATGGGAGACAAGGATAAAGTGAAAGCTCTACGCAAAGAAAACAAGCAGTTGAAGAGGCAACTAGAGGAATTAAAGAACGACTTCGAATCCATCAAAAGCAAGATGGCAAAACAAAGGGAAAACTACACAGCAACCGTTGTTCCACTAGATACACAGGATGTACAATTTCTTAGTGACAGCTACGGTGCCTTGGTACAATCTAAAAACAGTATAGAGAAAGATCGTGACAGATTCTCTCTGAGGTTGTACTTCCTAGAAAAAAATGTTGACAGGATCGATAAAGCCATTGATGACATGCTTCATTGCAGTTACCAGTACAACTTAAAGATTGTAGGTGTTCCGCAAGTTAACGAGAATGAATCAGCAGAAGATACGGCGAACCTTTGCCTGAAGCTATTTTCTGCCCTTGGAAATAATGTTTCTGTTTATGACATTGACATTGCACATAGGGTGCCACAACGTAATTCAACGATTGATAATGGCCGCCGAAGGCAATTTAACGCGATTATATGTAGATTTACAAGAAGAACGGCTCGAGACAAAGTGATGGCTTCGAGACGTAACGCCCCTCAATTAAGTTCAGAGGCCTTGGGACTCTCTCCTACAGCGGAGGTTAACCGAATCAAGATTTAGAATCACCTTGCGCCAAGATTACAAGAACTATTACATGTTGCCAAGGCCCACCAAAACATGCACAGTTACAAGCTAAGTGGTGTTGGACGAAAGAGTTCGCAATCTTCCTTCGCAAAACTGATACATCAACGGCGATTCGTCTAGAGTCAGTAGGCGATCTATCCAAACTAATAGAGCGTGAATCCCGATTCGACCAAATGGACCCTACCAGCTAAGTGGAATTTGTCTTTGATATTCTTTTATTTTATTAGTTTATCTTGAATATTACTATGAAGGGAACCAAAGCTGTAGCAGAGAAGTCTGCCAGATTAACGTTAAAGGAACGACCGTACTTCAGCTATACAGGAAACTTAATTCAAATCCATGACCAATTTAATAACTCGTTATCGACCTTTTGTAAAACTAAAAGAGACCTATACAAGTTCACTTGTTTATATGACCTAGGTTTATTTACCCTCAATACAGTTCTTGACTGTAATTTGAACCCTGATAATCAATCTTTTGTTAGAATACCCAGTCGGTATTACTCACCCCATAGTTTTAGCCAAATGAAAACCAAAGTTGAAACTGACACAAGTTTTTCTGTTTTTCACAACAATGTTGTTAGTTTAAGTCGTAATCTTGAAAAACTTCAAACTCATATTTTGCAGGAATTAAATTTTCATTTCAATATTATTGGAGTTTCGGAAACAAAAAATATTAATGTTAATACAGAAATGTGTACGGCAAAAATACCAGGATATTCATTTGAATACGTTCCAACGCCTCTGTCCTCAGGGGGCGTAGGATTATTCACTGATGAATCGCTAAACTATCGCATTTTAGAAAAGATCTCTAATGAAGCCTTTCAGGCATTGTGGGCTGAGATAACCTTTGAGAATAAGAAAAATGTTATCTGTGGAATTTTGTATAGACAACATAACACACCTGAACGCTTTCAATTGTATTTTGACGAGTGTATTAAAAAATTCACGTCTTCTGGAAAAAAAATAGTAATTATGGGTGATTTCAATATTGACTTTTTAAAGTGCGAGTCATCCAATTATAGTCACGACTTTTTATCGTCCCTTCAAAGTTATTATCTCACTCTTGCAATTGATTTTCAAGAGAATGGAATCTTTTATTGAACAACATAATAGGCTCTCTCCATCTCAAAATGGCATCCGTACAACACTTTCAACTCAGCATGCAATCCTGGATATTGTGAACACCATACAGACAAACATGGACAAACGCCTATATATTTTCGCATAGTTAGTAGAGGGGACTGGTTTGGAAAGCCGGCTAACTTCAAAGGGCCGGCCTATTGTTTCGCTTTTGAGGTTGAACCGTACCATCACGTGACCAGTACCGTGCACACATCAAGATAAACATGGCTGACATGATCGATTTATTTTTGTTTGGAGACGATTTCGACGCTGTCTTAGAAATTTTAGATGAAGAAGAAATCGATTAACACTTTGAAGAAGCTGCCGATGAAGTAAGAGTTTAAATCTGCTCAAAATTAAATGTTTTAGCGTAAGCAAGGAAAAGATCACCCGTCACTCGATCAATTCTGATTTGTGCTCAAGCTTGAAACCGTCTTTTTATTGCGAACTAAGTGCGAAATACTTATCTTAATCAGCAATTTTATTATTATTGACCACTTTGTTGATTGTGCTTGGATTGTATCCTTATTTTTATAAATGAAAGCTAACTCTTAACTAAACGCTATCAACGCGAACTTTTTGTTTGCACCGATGACAGGTTCAACTCGAAAGCATTGTATGTCAACATTGCCACAAGAAATGCAAGAGCAAGAGTGGACTGAAACGCCACATAACTGTAAAGCACAAAGTTATCGAAAAGGAAGACCAAGGGAAACGACAGAGCTATTTAACAGTCGAAACTTATTCAAGGATTGTCGAGAAAGCCAAATTAAAATTGTGCGACTGCAAAATGTACCCACAGCTGAAAAAAGAATCAAGTCCTACAACTGCAACATAACATCAGAATTCTTTGAAATTCAGAACTTATATAACCGTTTAGTCAACTCTGGAAACGTTGAGAGATTTTATGCTGCTTTTTAATCAAATATTGCTTTGCATTCTGCGAAGCATTTTGAAGGATTATCAAGGAATGCTGCTACCCTACTTTCAACTAAGGTTGCTGACAGCATGCTTGCACATAGTGCTGAAGAGAAATTACTTGCAAGTCATACGTGTGTTTCATTGACTAAACTGTCCGATAAAGAAAAAGCTGGACTACAGTACATTGGAGGTTCTGTACTCCACAAGCTTTACAACAAGCATGCAATTGTAAAGAAATTATTAGAAACTGAGCAAGCATGTCTGTACTTAAGGCTGGGAAATTAGAAGACCCTTCTGCTATGAAACAGAAGTAAAAGTTTGCTCATTTTCTTTTGCAAAGGACATAATACAGAAACACAAGATAAAACTAAAACAGCTGAAATCAAAAGCACTTCGCAAAGACATCATTAGACCCTCCACAGGAACTAAGGCAAAATTAGACTGAATTGCTTTTAGTAATTATCATTTATTATTTAGGACAACTTCAACATACATACCATATTTCTCTGCCTATAAGCTCAGGGCTTATAAGCTCGGGGGGGGGGGGCCTTATACGTGGATCAAAATAAATTTCAGTTAGAAACTATAAACTCGTTGGTGCAAAAATGCACGAAAAGAACATTAGAAACATGATAAGAAAGACAAAATCTTTATCTATTAAGTAAAGAACAGGTTCAGTACTACTTGTGTGTTTACTCTTTGTTTCGATCTGAGAAGTACTCCTGTAGCTGTGGCTTTAAATCAGAATCAATGCATTTAGACAGTGTGATTTCCATAATATTATAGGCATGAGAAAATAGACCAATCAGTTTGTAAAAGTTGAAATTCAAAGATAAAAGAAAAAAATGGGCTTATTTTTTCTACAGACTATCAAATAGTTTGCCTATTTTTTCACAGTCATATGACAATCACTCTCTAAAAATCTCACTGTTTTTTTCTTTTGGGAAGAGGGTCATCAGTCACATTGACCCATGCCTTGCTTTTGTCTTTCCTTCCCCTGGTATTGCCAGAGGTCTTTACAAGATGAGGGGCATCTGAGAAGAAGTATATAAACCTCTGTGGTGCAAACAAATTGATTGTGCGATAGCACACATCCTTGTCAGCATTTCCATCAAGACTCTTATGCATTCGGTAGAATCTTCTATTTGGTGTGGCTCCATCTGAAGTAGAAGCAATAACCCAGAGGTTACAGGTTAACTCCAAAATAGCAACAGCCTCCCAGAACAATGGCATTATCTGGGCAGAAGTAGCTCCATTGGTAGAAAAGTGGGCCAAGCAGAACTTCAACTCTGTACAAACACCTCTGATGAGGAAAGCAAGAGCATGAGTTGCAACCTCATCAAGTTTTTCCAGAGCTCCAAAGTTGACATCAGGGTCACCAAGATCCACATATCCAATCAATTCGCCTGTGACCTTATCAAAAACAAGATTTGACATGATTTTCATTTCGTCAAATAGCAAGACAACATATCGTTGCACATCAAAGTACTTGTCTGTTAATGCTTTCAGTTCTTCAATCACATTCTCATGAAAGCCCCTTTTGGGTCTAATAAAGTTTCTATAATCCCGCAGTGTTCTTTGGCTTGGCAGTACTAGTATCCCACTTTTTCTTATTTCCTCGTAGCAAGATGGTGATTTGGCTGCCAATGACAAACAATAACGAATTATCATTGGGTGATATCTGACACCAGTTGATGTGCTGTTGTGGAGTTTCTTTTGTTGTTGCCAAAATAGGCTCATGAATGGTGTGATCTCTGCCTGACCAAGTATATCAGTCATGTCTTTACTGAGTTCATGATCAATCTCAACACTTGATTTCTCGATTTCAAGTTTCATTTCTTGAAGTTTCTTTTCAAGGGTTGCACATTTCAATCTTTGCATCTGCAAAGTCAGTTTTAATCGTTCTGGAGATGTCTTAGAGACTGGGGTATTGAGATGCGCTGGCTTAGCTAGTTTGTTCTGCTTGGCCCTTTCTTTTAGCCGAGACTCATGTGAATATCCATAGCAACCAGCACACTGCTGGCCCTCATCCTCTGTTAAAATTTCACATCCTCTCATTCTCCAATACTGCTGGTGTGGAAATGAACTATCGTCGAATAGTGGATCGACAGATTTCGGGATGATGTGGGGTATTACAGCATTGGATAGTTCATGTGGAATTACTCCAGGACATATGGAGTGGCTTTCAACATCTTTCACAAGGTCAGAAACTGTGATATTACTGACTGATCTTAAATATCTAGAATACAGTTCATGGTCTTCAGGTATGAGCCATCCAAAAATTGAAATTGTGTATCCCAAACTGTCATCTATCATGATTTCAACTTCTGGCAACAAAAAGGTGTTTTTTATCTTTCTCAGCAATATTCTGTCATTTAACTCTTGAACTGACCAGTCACTGAGGGTTTTCAAAGGATGAACTCGTTTGCAAAGTTCTACAAAGTTACTATAACAAGCATTCTTTCTTTTGGTTTCAGGCAAGTCCTTCACGATCGATAGCAGTCTTCGTGGCGCTAGCTTTTCCTTTTGGTGGCTTTTTTGGGGCATATTTAGAGTCGGTAGAGAACCAAACTTCGGTCTTTTCTTGGTCATCTTTGAAGACACGACTAAAAGCAAAGTTAAATAATTTATCTATCAGTAAGAAAGGCGGAAGAGCTTTGGTTAGTACAAGACATGTGTTGCCATCACGGAACACAAAAGTAAACATCGTCAGTTCCAAGTTATAAACACACATCTGATGTTTATAATCCCCTCTACTAACTACTAACTACACATACACCTTCGGTTGTGCTGTGCCGCGCACAAAAATCCTACATTCCATACTGGTAAGCACCATACACACACAAGCTTTAGTCTGAATACTTACCAATTTCTATATCATCAAGAGCGAAATGCTTCTCGCATGTAAAGACTCTATCGCTGTCAATTTGTTTCTGGAAATCTTTGTCTACTTCTCTTGATTTTGTGAGTTCATTCAGCCAGTCTGCTCTCCACTTTTTGTATACTTCGTTCCTCGGAGCGGGAAGTTTCCAAATGCCTATACCTTTCGATCGCCTGCACGATCCACAGCCAACCACGGAACAATTATCGCCAGGCATTTTAAACTTAATCTAGAGTAGCTTTATTACGATTTACAACTGTTTTTTCTTTTTTTATCATAATAACACCGAAAAGAACACAAGACAGCGTACCGTACTCAAGTGACAACCGGCGCCACATCTCAGTTGAATCCTGTGCTGTGCACGGTATTGGTCACGTGATTTCTAAAAAATCGAACAATAACCTCCTCTTTTGAAGTTCACCGACCTTCCTAACCAGTCCCCTCTACTAACTATGATTTTCGTGAGGAGTTTTTATTGATCTAAAGAAAACTTTTGACACTGTAGATCATAAGATTTTAGTACATAAGCTAGAGCACTATGGTTTCCGTGGTGTCATCAATAAATAGTTTTCTTCTTACCTACAAGGCCAAACCCAAACAACTCAAATTGATTCGCATATTTCTGCTAGAAGTAATATTACTTGTGGTGTACCGCAAGGCTCCGTCTTGGGCCCACTACTTTTCCTAATCTCTATTAACGATATTCAAGAATGCTCTGAAAAGCTTAAGTTTTTTTTTGTTTGCTGACGACACGAATATCCTATATGCTGAAAAAAATCCTAGGTCATTGGAGTTAATTGTTAACCAGGAGCTCTGCAAATTGTATGACTTGCTAACAGCAAATAAATTGACACTGAATTTAAAAAAATCTAGTTTCGTCATATTTTCACCTGCTCGAAGAAAATTTACATATCAACCTAAAATTATGATATTTGATAACGAGCAGAATAAAAATGTAGCTTTAGAATGTAAGGAATTTATAAAATACTTAGGGATACTAATTGATAATCATCTAACCTGGAAACATTTTGATCATATAACAATTAAAATAAATCGAACCATTGGTCTAATATCTAGACTACTATTTTTGTATTTTTCTAGTATCTTGTTTTTATACCTACTCTTTTTATTTAACTTCCTGATTCCTGTAAACCTGTATACTTACTCTTTCTAAGTAATTTCCTGATTTCTGTAAACTTGTATACCAACTTTGTTTTCTAAGTTAAGACATGACCCACCTAGATTAGCTAGCTACCTCTGGGCATGTCCAATTTGTTAAAATAGTCATTAGAAATTAGGATAAATAGAGGTTCTTGTTGTTGTTGTTGTGGGGAATATTTACATTTCGACACTACCAAATGCAAATTTGCGATCACGCTTTGAGTTTTTGGCTAAATAAGCGCACGTCTTATTTGTTATTTCAAACTATCGCTTTTTTTTCCAGCGTTACCTGTTAAATTAATCTCATTTGGACCAACTACTTGCATGTGACGCAAAAATCAGAGACATCGACGTCATCCGCCATTCCAGGATATCGACCCACTAAATTCCACACCAGATAAGGTGCCTCTCAGATTTTTAACAGATTCTTTTTTTTTCTGTCTGCTTTGCAGTCTCTCCACACAACTATATAAAATGAGGCTGAGTTTATTCAAATATACTACTGATATACAAGTACAAATGCATACAATTCCATTGTTTCTGAAACGGTAGGTAATTATGTCGATAAGGGGAAAATTCAATAGTTCAGGTAGCAATTAGTTGCTCTTCTGAAGAGTGTGGATTGTCCATCACAGGTGCAAACGTATCTCTGGACGCCACTTCCTCGATATAAGATTATACTTAGTGCTGTAAACCGTTGAGCATGTTACTGCTATTATTTTTTCATTCTGCCAAGAAATATGAAGTACATTAGTTAAGTCACTTAGAGAGGTAATCGTAACGAAGGTCTTCTGGTTAAGATGAGCTCGGGTAATTTTTTTCCGAAAACTTTTTTAAAGTCTGAAAGTGCTCCTTCATTCCAAATTGTACGAGAAAAATCATGGGATAACATTTATGTACAAAAAAATATAAGCTAGCTATTCAAATGTTCCAAAGGCCCTTATAACAATTACGATTCAATCAGACCCTACAATTGCGATTGTGCATTTCGTCGAACGAACGGCGTTCAATGGGAAGAATAAAGTTTTAAAAGTTTTTTTGCTGAAAAAACGTTAAACCCGGCTAAATGCTTTGACTACATTTTGCACCGATTAACTGTTTCTGCGCAGCGTTTTTTAAGCAAAAACTGCATTTCTCTCAGCGTATCAAAATAAGGAAATTCTGTCGGGAATATTTCAAGGAGGCGTAAGAGAAAGGCTGGGGACTTTATGCCTTTTTTGAATTTCTTCTTCTCACAACGGCAATTGAGCAGGAGATCATTTAAAATTCTCTAGATTCAGAAGTATTTGATTTAAGTTCCTTACTCATTGAAGTCGTGGTCAGATTCATGGAAATGTCAAAGGGGCAAAGACTTGTTAGATTTAGAAATCTCTTTATTTACTTTTATTGTTTACCTTTTTCATATCTAGATATTTATCTATTCATAATTTTGCTACATAGTATAGATTTACTTACTGCTGGTCCTTCAAAATGTACAAGCATTCTATTGGTACCAGGCGTCATACATTCAGTTTCGGTTTTAAACTGACATGGACTGAAGTCTCCTGATCCCTTAGGACCAGCGAGACCCACGGCTCCTTGGGGACCAACAGGTCCTTGACTTCCGTTGAAGCCAGGAGGTCCGATAGGACCTGGCATCTTATTACTAACCTTCACTAAGAAGTAAAAATGATACATTATAATATAATAACATTCACCCCTTTTCCTCTTTTACATATGCAGATTTACTTTGTACTCTTATTTCTCAATTTTACTCCAACATAACGCCGTGTTCATTGTCGATCTTAGTAGAATGAAGGTGCTTTTCATGTGTAAAACCAGCGTATAG